AGCCATGCTGAGGTGGTGTCCCATATAGAGCAACTAGAAAGATGTACAACTATGACATACTACTATCTACTGGGGCTTTGGGGAGAAAAAAGGAGAAAGACTGGCAACAGACGTTAGCTCAGGGCCCATCTTCCTCGAAAAAAAAAGGAACCAAGTCTAGGGCAGAAAATGTACATAATGAGGTTGGGACATCTTTTGTACCTGAAAACAAGAGAGTGTTTAGGGACTAACAGGGTCATGTTAAAAAGACACAGGAACCATCCTAAAAGGGCTCCTGCAGCCAAAAGGAACAACAAAAATAATGACTATCTTAGATTAAAGTATACTGAATATAATTCCATAAGCCTTTAATAATACCCCTGCTAAAAAAAGAATAATTTAAAACATCATTTCTATTAACTCCTTTCTCTGGAAATTGGTAAATAAAAGGAAATAATGAAGCATTTATTTCTGTTTCCAGTAGGGTGAAGTTAGTTCTAGTTAATGAAGAAACAATTAATGAAGACAGCCAACTAATAAATGTATTAGAAAATTGTGATTTTGCTATCCCAAATGAAATAATGTAAACAAGAAAAGTATCATTACCAAATGGATACTAAAGCTATTTGGTGCGAGGTCATGATGAACTAGATATTCTCATGGTGCCAAAGTATCAACTTATAGATTACTCACTAGTTGCAAAGGGGAAAACATAACTTTATAATAAAAAAAATCTGACTGTCATTACCTTAATCCATCACGGCATCATCAATCATGGTATCACTAATAATTGTGAGACAGATAGACATTATGCATTTATTTAGAAGAACATGAGGTACACAATATCACCTATTAAGTATTCTTGCCAAAAATGTTTGCACTTAATCAAGCCTTTAAATTTAGCTCCCAGTTTACAGAAAACACAAGGGATAGGGAAGTCAAATAAGATCATAAGGAAATAATCAGACAAATCCTTAAGATTAGATATTTTCCATACAACTGACTTGCTCTCTTCAACAAGTCAGCATATTAAAAAGAGAGTTTGGAGTAGGCAGTGCTGATCTAAATTAAATGAAATATAAGAGAGAGAACAATGAATGAAATGCAATCAATAATAAAAGACGTTTTTGGCACAACGGGGGAAATCTGAACACAGACTGGTATTAGGCATGGAATTATAGTTAAGTGGTAAAAGCAATGTGGTAGGAGAGGCAAATATTATAGAGATGAATACTGAAGTTATTAGGTGAAATGTCATGATTTATATAATTGACTTTGAAATATCTAAGAATACAGGAAGTAAATATGACAAAATAGTAACTGTTAAATCTAGACGATAAGCATATGGATACTTATTATTCTATTCTATTTTTCTGTATCTTTGAAAACTGTCACAATTAGAAAAAAAATCAGATGAAATATGATCTGGAGCTAATGTCTATAAACTATTCTTTCCTTCACAGTTAAGCTTCATAAAAGGAGAATGGAATGCTATGTTGAGGAAGGTTTTGTTTTTGTTGCTTTTTTTCTTTATTTTTTTCTTTATTTTATTTTTATTTTATTTTTTTTGTGAGGAAGATCAGCCCTGAGCTAACATCCACGCCAATCCTCCTCTTTTTGCTGAGGAAGACTGGCCCTGGGCTAACTAACATCCATGCCCATCTTCCTCCACTTCATATGGGACACCGCCACAGCATGGCCTGACAAGCGGTGCGTCAGTGCGCACCTGGGATCCAAACCCGGGCTGCCAGCAGTGGAGCGTTCGCACTTAACCACTATGCCACAGGGCAGGCCCCACTTTTTTTTTTTATTGAGGTAACATTACTTTATAATGTTATAGAAATTTCAGGTGTACATCATTATATTTCAATTTCTGTGTAGACTACACCATGTTCACCATCCAAAGACTAATTAATATCCGTCACCATACACATGTGCCCTATTTACCCCTTTTGCCCTTTTTCCTCCCCCTTTCCCCTCTGGTAACCAACAATCTTATCTCTGTATCTATATGTCTATTTGTTTTTGTTGCTTTTAAGTCAGAACTCAAAAATACCTTCGTATATTAAAGAAAATGAACGACAGAAAGAGGGGTTGAAGATAAAAGACAGAAGGAACAATTAATGGAGCAAGGACATCAAAGAGATGGGAATGAATAACATTCTTTACTTTGATTTACCATTATAAAGGAATAGAAACACTGTATTCTGAAAAGGGAAAAAAGAAATATGGCTAAGTCTGTAAACTGGAACTGACAGGAAAAAAAGTTCAAGAAGTTTAAAAATGATGGCTGATGAATTAAGAAGTAAGGTAATCTGCTGAAAAGTTAGATATGGCAAAATGGGGATGGGATCCTGGGAAAAATGGTAAGGTTTGAAATAACCACTGTGAGGAAAGAGAGAACTAATCAAGGCCAATAAATATATTCGTGGAGTGGCACTGGAGACACAACTTACTGCTAGCAATCTCGCTAACAATGCAGTTTTCTATAACACTTGGCTATGTGAATACAGGATACAAAAAGTCAGAGGAGGTATACTTATTCAGATCAGAGGAAGGCTATTAGACATCAGACTAGGAATCTTGATAAAGTAGAGCACAGATAATACAAGTAAGGGAGTGAAAGTACTAGAGGGTCAGACATTTGATAAGTAAATAAGATAACCGAAATTTCAGAAAACAGATTATACTGGTGACACATAAGATCTAAAAGAATTAGTTATGCTGTTCTCTATAAGTCTTTTTTAGAGTAAAATAAATTCTCTTTTTTGGCTAGTGTGGTTTTTTTTTTCCCCCAAAGCCCCAGTAGATAGTTGTATGTCATAGTTGCACATTCTTCTAGTTGCTGTATGTGGGACATGGCCTCAGCATGGCCGGAGAAGCGGCGCGTTGGTGTGCGCCCCGGATCCGAACCCGGGGCCGTCAGCAGCAGAGCGCGCGCACTTAACCGCTAAGCCACGGGGCCAGCTAGTGTGATTTAAATGTGGTTTTACCAAGAGGCGGAAATTGAGATGGCTCCTTGAGGTTTTATTTTTTTTTCCCCCCAAAGCCCCAGTAGATACTTGTATGTCATAGCTGCACATCCTTCTAGTTGCTGTATGTGGGACACGGCCTCAGCATGGCCAGAGAAGCAGTGCGTCAGTGCGCGCCCGGGATCCGAACCCGGGTCTCCAGTAGCAGAGCGCATGCACTTAACTGCTAAGCCATGGGGCCGGCCCTCCTTGAGGTTTTATTAATTGTAGAACAGACCAGTTTTTTGGTCTATAATGTCTCAACATGATGGTGTAATGTGACTGGTTATTAGAAATTTCACAAGTAATTTATTATTAATAACAGTTGAAGCTCATAAATTGGCTTGTTTTTACAAATTAGAGCTAACTAATTTTAATAACATAATTCTCACTCATATTCTAACACATTTTCTGGAGTAGGAACTTCCATGGGAGTATGTCACACATGTTAGCATACTGTACTGCTATCATTTTAAAGCATCTTGTACCACAGAAACTAGCGTCAGGAATGCTAACTATGATCTCAGGCTAAAATTTACATAAGTACTGGAAGTTAGAAGAATAAGAGCTGTTATTCTTAATTAACACCTTTACCATATTTCAAAAATTAATCTTTATGTGTCAAAACTGCTTATCTTATACATCTGACAAGGGGTTGATCTCCATAATATATAAAGAACTCACATAACTGAACAACAACAAAACAAACAACCCGATCAAAAAATGGGCAGAGGAAATGAACAGACACTTCTCCAAAGAAGATATACAGATGGCCAATAGGCACATGAAAAGATGTTCAACATCACTAATCATCAGGGAAATGCAAATCAAAACAACACTAAGATATCACCTCACGCCCATTAGAATGGCTATAATCACCAAGACAAAAAACAACAAATGTTGGAGAGGATGTGGAGAAACAGGAACCCTCATACACAGCTGGTGGGAATGCAAACTGGTGCAGCTTCTATGGAAAATGGTATGGAGATTCCTCAAAGAATTAAAAATAGAGATGCCCTATAATCCAGCTATCCCACTACTGGGAATCTATCCAACGAACCTGAAATCAACAATCCAAAGAGGCTTATGCACCCCTATGTTCACTGCAGCATTATTCACTATAGCCAAGAAGTGGAAGCAACCTAAGTGTCCCTCGACTGATGATTGGATCAAGAAGATGTGGTATGTACATACAATGGAATACCACTCAGCCATAAAAAAAGACAAAATCGTCCCATTTGCAACCACATGAATGGGCCTGGAGGGTATTATGTTAAGTGAAATAAGCCAGAAAGAGAAAGACAAACACTGTATGATCTCACTCATATGTGGAATATAAACCAACACATGGACAGAGAAAACTGTATTGTGGTTACCAGGGGCAATGGGGGTGGGGGATGGGCACAAGGGGTGAAGGGAGACATATACATGGTGATGGACAAACAAAAATGTACAACCCAAAATTTCACAATGTTAAAAACTATTAAAACATCAATAAAAAAAACTGCTTATCTTAAACTTTTATGAAATACATACTAAGAAAATCTTCATTAGAAAGAAATACACAATAAATAAAAATTTAAATTCCCAATCCATACTTCATGCCTATCTTGCTGGTTATACTAATCTTGAACTTAAGTGACATTCTGGGGTCAAATGAGAGAAAAAGAATGTCAGTGAATTGAACCACACCATAAAAGTGGTTTTTAAAATAATAGCACACTCACATATATATACTTACCAGGTTCCTAATTCTAGTCAATGTGGAATGGGAAAGGGGAGTTTTAAGGTAATCCACAATGGTCCCATGCACGATTATTAAGAGCAGTATGCAATTCCAACATTAAATTTACATTATATTGAAACCAATACCACCAAATAAAATACTACAGTTCTATAAACTGAGAAGGAAAACTGCACTAATCACTAGAATGTTTTGCCACTTCTATTCAATTTCCTATATGCTTCAACAAACCCCCATGCCTAAAAAGCAAAATATAAAATACTTACTTTTTCATTTTTTTTGAATTATATTTGACTTGGTAAGCTGCCTGTATTAATTTGTCTGGACCACCGTCAAACTGATGTGGAATGACCTTCTGAAAGTGCTAGATATAATAAAAGAAAAATGTAAGAACTACTTAATGTTGTTTATTATTAACTAATTAACAGTAAAATCTAAACACATTCAGGAAATCACGAACTGACTTACCTGTAACATCCCTTCCATGTCGAGTTGCATCAGTTCTGCCTGATTCATTTGAAGAAGCGCTAATCCTACTCGAAACACTATTTCTAAACCCTGAGGAAACAAATTATATAAAGCAAAATTTGTCTTACTCTTCCATCAACAAAAACTAATCATTCAAAAGAATACTAAGGTAAACATTTAGGGATCTAAAGGAGAGGTTGGCAAACGTTTTCTGCAAAGTCAGCTAGCAAGTATTTTAGGCTTTATGGTCACTGTCACAAATACTCAACCCTGCCATTGTAGCCCAAAAGCAGACATAAATAACTCATCAACAAATGGGCATGGCTGTGCTCCAAGAAAACTGTATTTACAAAAACAAGTTTTGAAGGGCAGATTTGGCACGCAGAACCAGGATGAATCAACACACAAATCACAGTTCGCTGGTTCCAGACTAAACTAATTTTGCTAAGTGAAACAAATTGATATTCCCAAGATGTAATTAATAACAATTAACACTGGGTTTGATTAAGATGTAATTAATAACAATTAATAATACTTTCACACGCTATCTACCATTCACCACCTATCCTTACTTTCCTGTCTTATCACCCAAAATACAGAAGACAAAGGATCACTACTACATGTCAATGACAACTTAAAGGACAACCTGCAGTGTGTTCATGGAATAGAAGGAACTTAATTATACTTATTAATTCTTGCTCTTTGGGTAACAGATGCATTGCAACAATATTAACTGTAAGGTAAATTTTATCTCTCACTAATTCAACCAGGAGGTGACACAGAGGTTTAAGAGTGTGGGCTCCAGATTCTGATTGCCTACATGTGAATCCTGGTTACTATATCATTTTTGTGCTGTGTGTCCATAGATAAGCTACTTAACCTTTCTCTAAGACTCAGCTTCCTCATCTATCATCTATCAAACGGGGAAACTAACAGTACTTGATAGGGTTGTTACAGGTTTAAATGACAGTATCCATACAACCAGTTTAGCATGGGACACATGGGTCTCCCTTATTGTTCTCTTCATTGCCCTGCTCTAATTAACCCAATGATTTCTTTGCTTAGCTCTTGCTCCTAATCTGCCCATTCACTGGCTTACCTCAGACATAAAGATATCAAATATCCTTGTCGCAATTGGTAGTGGAAAAGTTGTAAGAAAGATAGTCAGAAACCAGGATGATGCATACATTGAGGTATGAAAACTCTGAGACTGAAAATGTGCAAAGAGTTCTGGAAGATGTTCCTAAAGAGAAGAAAAGTATTAGTTAAAACATAATAAAATTGAGTATTTTAAAGCAGATCATTGAATATACACTAGATTAGCCTATATCAAACACAAAGATAAAATCAGGCATCATAAGAAAAGTTAAGACCTAGAAATTGATACATACAGGATAGTGGTTACTATCTGGGAAGGGAAGAAGGGGAAAAGGATGTAGAGTTGGAACTTTGACCATATCTATAACATTTGATTCATTAATAAAAAGAAAAATTGAAACAAATGAGTAAAACTTTTATATTTGTTTAATCTTGTTGGTGAGTATACGAGGGTCTAATTTATTTTCTATACTCTTCTATAATATTTTTAAAAATTTTTTAAAAAGGCAAGAAATGCTATGTTGAAATACTTTCAGGTGCAATCTACCATTGATCACCTATCCTTACCTTCCTACCGTCTCATCCAAAATACAGATGCTTCAGCAACTCTAGTAACTCAAAACATAAATGACACATTAACTGATAATAAACCAAGAGAGTTTAAGGTTGACAAAAACAAGCTTACTATTTCAGAAAAAAAAAATTTAACTAAGAATAATCTCAAGACCTACTTGTCTTTTTCTTTAAAATGTAAAAATATTTTGTATATCTCCTTCCTCCAACCACACATAGACAAGTTAGAGGATTTTAAAATTCCTGTGGGTAAGGCTGCCAGGGAAAAATGACACTCATAAAAATGGCTCTCATGCCATCTGAATCATTAACCTATATTCTTAAATTCTGTTTATCTAACTGAAATTTAAGTAAATGAGCACATTTACACCATTGTATCACAAGACAATATAGTAAACTTATTTTTATGTATAAAATGTATAAATGAAATTCAGAAAATTAAAATATTTCAAAGGTATTTTTCACTTGATTTTGATTCCTCTTTCTTTACCCTCACATAGTCACTAGACTCTGAGTCTTAAACTGGCAACATAAAAGGATAGAAACATTATTTTTAAAAAAGATTACAGCCTCACAAAAAAGTGAGATAAAAAGGGAAAGGCAGAGGAGAGGACTCAAAGAGAAAGAAGAGATAGTCTCAAAGGAAATGAACTGACGTCAGTGTCATAATGTCATGGGCTCCTGTAAGAGAGCGTAGTCTACATAACAATAATAGGATATAATAGGGCATAATAAGGAAACTCACGCATTTGGGCAATGGGGTTATGATACATTTCGCACGAATGCTTTAGGTTTGAATATGAAAATTGCAGCCACATTCCAGACTACTCGATCTACTGCAGAGAGTGCCAACTGGGAAGTAGGTCTAAACTGTGTGTTAATGGACCAACAAATGACCATGTGATTAAAACACTGATTTTTTTCAATTGCTTTAACACTTTTAATGCTAAATTTATTTACTTGTCACTCAAACTAAGATGGCAACAAATATAAAGGCAATATGCCTTTTGTTAACACTACACTTTTACCTGTATCATGCATTCAAACTGGTACATACAAAGGCCCAACTCTGCCATACTTGGTTTAAAAAGTTCACGAAGTCTATAATCTTGCATTAATTTAACAAATACACAGAAAGCTTCTTCTTCTGGCATCTACATTAGGAGAAAAAAAAAACAACATAGGTTAACGTTCTGAGATACACAAATAAGCTCCAATATATTTAAACTAAGTACCCACGCAACTATAAATATTGTTTCAAGTGGCCATGTGATGCAATGTTAAGAGTAATGGACTAGAAATCAGAAGGTTCTAATCTCCCATTCTATCACCGAGAATGAGAAGTTAGACAAATCTTACAACCTATGAGACCAACTGCCTCACTTGCCTAATTCATTAATTCAACCAACAAATATTCATTTAGAGCCAGATACTCCCCTCTCTCTAGGTATATACCAGTAAACAAAGTAAACACAATCTCTACCCTCAAGGAGCTTGAACTTTCTAAGAGGGAGAGACAGACAATATATGGAATAAATCAATTAATATTTATGTCAGATGTTGATGAGTGCTATGGAAATAAAAAAACAAAGTAGGGTAACAGGGAGTGTTGCAGAGATACACTGCTATTTATGTAGGTAGGTCAGGGAAAGTCCCTTGATAAAGGAACATTTGAGCAGAATACTGAAGAAAGTAAGGGAGCAACTGAGGAAACAGTCCTGGGAGAATAATACAAAGGCCTTGAAATGGAATTAAGATTGGCAGCTCAAGGAACAGCGTATAGGAGATTACTAAATTAGAAGTAATGTTTTAAGTATAGGTTAGGTTATGGACGAGAAATAACAGAGAATAAAATTACATAGGGCTTTAGAGGCCACTGTAAGGATCTGGACTGTTCCCATCTCATCGGGAAGGTTTTCGAAGGTTCTGAGCAGAAGTGATACGATATGGTGTAAGTGTTAAAAGAATTTGTAAAATAAGTTTTCAAAGAATCTATAATTGGGGTTTAAAGGTATCAATTTTGCATTTTATGTGTAACTCACTAGAACATTGTATCAAATAAGATAATGAATGTAAAAGCTCTGTAAAGAACTAAACAGATTTTCAGAATATTTAGGCAAATAGCACTTATCCAAATTAAGTTGTCTTTCTCAAAATAATAAAATTTTGTAATGCTTATTCACTCACATTATACCAGTGTGTTTCAAAAGAGGAAACTTCAAAGGATCTCTAGGCATTCTTCTTACTGAAGACTGCTTCTAACCACAGTACATTTTTCCTGGCCTTGACACAGCCACGGGCAGGAGCCAAGAGTTACTCCTTCCTTTCTCCCAACACACACAGCCACAGTTCTGCTTTAGAGATGATCCTTATTAATTCTATCAAGTCCTATAGCCCCACTGATTTATGTCCGTCACTATAAGAAGCCCAATATCCCAGAACTCTCATCCCATGTGGTTCTACTGCTCCCCTAATCTAACCCATTTCCAACCTTCCCTAAACCTTTCCACAGCACTTTCTGGAACTCATAATATGCCATCAACAAAATATCCTACCTACATCCTCAATCTCATTACCAAATGTTCTTTCACCTTCCTCCTCTAACTGAAATCTGGCTCTCCCCTAAGGTGGCTGTTTTCTCTCCCATAGCACTGGAAGAGGCCAGGGAGTAGAGGAGTATATGTCCCTCCTTGGACCTCACTGCCTCATTGCTATTGCATTAACTCCCCCTTCTCTCTGAAACACATGCCAACAGACAGTACCCATTACTCCTCTTTTTTGTAGCATCCACAAATCCTACTCATTTTCATAAGGGTCAATTCCCTGGCCTAGCAGATCTCTGTCTGTCTTTCCTCCAATGATCCCGGCAGGCAGTTATTAGCTTACGCTCTAGAGCTACACCGCCTAAGGTTCAAATTCCACTTAATAGCTATGTGACCTTTGGCAAATTATTTAACCTCTCTTGTTGCTCAGTTTCACCATCTATTAAATGGGTAAAATAAAAGTACTTACTTCACAGGGTTGCAATGAAGATTAATACATATAAAGTATTTATAATTATCTGACCTTGCAGGTCTATCACTCATTTATACCACACTACCTTTTTTCTGTTCCCAACTCTCTCTTGTGCTCACTTTGTTGCTTACCATTATATTTATTCACTTACTTAAATCCACAATTACTTTGTCTTTCTCTCACTCAGCTATAATTCCAACTATAAAACTCCACCCTTAGATAAATCCAACTCTACGACTATATTTAGGCAGAAGTGGCTGGGTAAAAACAAAAACACTTAACCACGCTGGCTGGTCTCACTTTGAATTCAGGACCACTCATCTCAGTGGATCTTTAATGCTGTCTAGTATACTTTATTTCCCTAATTCAATCACTCTCATTCTCCTACACCATTTCAAACTCTTCTCTGTCCTCAAGCTTCCAAGACCTCCTCCTTACTCAGGTCTTAGCTAATGACCTTGGTTTGGTATTTCAATTTAAAAAAATAGAAGCAATTAGAAGAAAATTTTCCCATTCTCATACCGCCACATCTACCATCCTACCTGCATCTGCACCCATTTTATAGCCTCTAGTCTTTCTCTTCTATCTATTGGCCTCGACCATTTTGCCCCATTCCTGTCTCATATTTCCAACTGCCCACTTAACATCTCCACTAGGATGTTCAACAGACATTTCAAACACACTTCTAATTTCCTACCCTGCCATTCCTCACCCCAAACTTCCACTCAAAAATCGTGAGTCATGACTGACTCCTTCCTCTTTTACTCCACATCTAAGCTGTCAATAACCTCCTACTGGCTTTACATTCAAATTGTTTCAAGACTCAACCACTTCTGACCATAAACACCTAGTCCAAACTACTGTCAAGAGAGTAGTCCACTGTCTGAACAATTGCAAGAGCCTCCTCACTGGTCACTCTGCTGCCTCCTTGTACTTCCTCCCCAATACTCTCTTCTCCATACAGCCTGGAACTGCCAGAGTGATCCTTTCAAAGCATGAATTAGATCATTTCCCTCCACTGCTCAAAACACTCTAGTGGCTTCCAATATCCTCAGTAAAAGCCAAAATCCTTCAAGGTCCTACATGACACGACCTCAAACTCCAAACTCATCTCTCACCACTACCTTTCCCCTTCCACTTCTTCCCCTACCCCTCACTCCAGTCACAATGGGAAGGAAGCAATTAATCTCCCTTTTTTGTCTTATAAGAATGTCTTTTCTTCCCAACATTTCAAAAAAAGTTCCATTCTCTCTTTCCTCTGCAATAGTATTGGTATGGGAACTGGGAGAGGGTTTAAAAAATGGCGATATTTTAAAAAATAAGTTGAAGTGATTGTATAAAAAACCAAAAGGAGGTAGAAAAAATATTATCACTGGGTCCTTCTCAAAAAGACTGAAACGATGGTCACAAAATGAGAAAGTGTGACATCAAATAAAATATAAACATGACAAACATTCACCATGTTACTTTATAGTCATTCCTTTCTATTAGAAAGAATTCTGCACACGAGTGTTAGAGCAATGTGCTGCTGCATACTTTATGACACTGAGTTAATAAGAATCCTTGTCTTTTGCAAAGGTCTAATGCGGACAACATCTACCTAATTTTACAGGAGTACTAAGATATACACAAAACATATATCCAGTACTTTTAATTATTTTAACACAACATGTGCTAAATAAGCTGAACTTGCAAAATTTTTTTATCCAATTCTCTGAGCTATATTTCTAAGCTAACACATGGGAGGCAATATAGCACTGGGTATAAGAGAATAAGCTTTAGAAACAAAGAGAAGGGCTTCTAAATCTGGTGGCACCACACTTTCTAACTTGTGGCCCTGGGTTATCAAATAATTATTGTTATGGTAGTGTATCAGCTGCCACTGACAATAACAGTTAAGTAAATCAATCACTGAATCAAAGTGAGTATCACTACCAGCACTGCCTGCAGCGTCTTGAAGGAAAGAGTGATGGCCCTTTAGGATTCCTAGAGAGCTAGGTCAGCTGTTGTGAGATTCATACCTCAAATAAGGAAAAACTGCTCTTTAGATGCTCAATAGAAATAACCACTGAAAGCTTATTTTGAAGCTAACATGGAAGTAAAAGAAATAGAACTGTGACAAAAATCACTGGATTGATAATACGGATGTTTCACTATGAAAGGTCTACCAACACTAACCAATTACAAATTAGGAAAATTCTAATTTTGCAAAACAGCTATACCTCAACATTAACAAACTTAGTTTTCTTCTTTATTATTTATAACCTAATGTCACCTAGAAATGGACAAATATCCTGCAGTAATAACTGAGAGCAGTTCTTATGTTATAAAACAAAGTAAAAATCAGTCATTTTTATTATAGACCAGTGTCTCTGACATGAGGTTTTTGCTACTCAGAAAAGAAGTGTGTATATTCCTGACAGTTACAGAGCTTTAAAACTCAGGTAAACTGTTGGGAAACTGAAGCAAAGCATGGGGAATCAGTTTCTGATTCCTACCCTGTTTTTATCTACCAAGATATGTGATCTTGGGCAAGTCACTGAACTTTCATTGCATGTCTACTATACACCAAACACTATTACATATATGTTCTCATATAACCCTCACAATGAATCTGAAAGTAGAGAGCATTACCTAATTAAGGCTCAGAGAGAGAGGTTAAATAATCTAGCCCAAGGTCATAGAACTCAGTTCAGAACTGAGATGCAAACACCAGCCTATTATAAAACAAATCGTTATCTCCAAGGTTTCCTTTCAGACTACATTTTAGTGCAAGACTAAATATAGAGCATGATGGACTTTTAAAAAAAATTTCAACAAGGCTGAATAGATAATACCATATGCCATTTCCCTTCAAAGCTATGACTGACTGTCCTATCCTTGACTTCTGAAAACACCCCACCCAAACCCTCTCCAAAATAAGTCATTGCCAATGGAAACACATGTTATATCCCGGGGGCAGTAAAAGTGACTTGAGTACCTCTGTTTTAGAGTATATAACAAGATACACTTAACAAGCCCTTAGCTCCATGACAAACAAAATTCCTGTATAAACTTCTAAAGACGTTGTACAACATAAATAAGATTTTCATTCCAACACCTGAATCATGTCCTTCTTGGCTGGGAAAGATTACTCCTCATTAAATACTGACATATAAATTAAGATTTAAAAGCAGATAGAGGCTTTCCTAGGATATTATGGTCCAAATGTAGATACCAAGAAGTTGAAATTTCATTTAGTGGCAGGATATTACTGTATGTTATTTTTAACACTTTTAATATTTTAAAGTGCAAACTAAATATTCCTATTTAAATTATGCCTAGCAGAAAATACCCAATATCCACTTATACTTAATAACAACAAGGAAGATTTTTAAATTCTCCAATCCAACTTTAATAAAGAATTGGACATTTAATACTTGTACTAACTTACCTGCATAAGCAACAATCCAACTATAAAAGCACTTCCTTGACAGTAACCAACCTCACGATCCACTAAAGAATATGCCTAAAAAGTAAAAAATTTTCAAGAGACTTTAACATGTGATATTATATCTTCCTTCCCTAAAAACCTAAAAATGTTGAGAAGGTGGATTACAGACCATCCAGTTTTTAGAAAAGCTCTTGCTTACTTATTGTAGATGTTATCCTATAAGTATTTTTTTTTATTTTTTGTGAGGAAGACCAGCCCTGAGCTAACATTCAATGCCAATCCTCCTCTTTTTTGCTGAAGAAGACTGGCCCTGGGCTAACATCCGTGCCCATCTCCCACTACTTTATATGGGATGCCGCCACAGCATGGCTTAACAAGCAGTGCATTGGTGCACGCCCGGGATCCGAACTGGGGAACCCTGGGCTGCCGCAGTGGAGCGTGCGCACTTAACCGCTTGCGCCACCGGGCCGGCCCCTATCCTATAAGTATTTAAAAAGCAAATGATTTATTACATAAAATTTTCTTTTGACAATTTCCCAATTAGAAACTGACAGCTTCTAAGGACAAGAAAATAAAGGAATTTGTAATCAGGAAAGGGACAGGGTTTAAAAATCATTTAAAATGTATATCTGATAAAGATAAAACCAGAGTAGGACTAAGGTAAAGCATTGGCAAAGTTGAAATGATTTAACAAGAAATCAATATTTCACCGAGGGAGCCAGAAGGGAAAGGAACTATGGGAAGGGAAAAGGCAATATTGAAGAAAAAATTACAACAGCACACACACTTTTAAGGGGTAAGAGCTCTTAACAATGCTAGCCATAGCTAGCAGAAATATCTGCTTCCTACTATGAAACTCACAGGAGGTGAAATATTTATTTTCATAGAGAATCTCTCTCCGATATAGTGATTTATAGATTATTTGATTTGGCCTAACTAATACCAGCCAATGTGATGAATTTTCTAACAAGTTCTCCAAACCAGACAGTAATGTAGCATCAGAATTAAAGCAGAAATTATGCTAAAGCCAAATTTATTGCCAAAGCAACTGATTACTAGGGTGAGAGTTCATGTTTCACTGGGGGAAATATATAATTTCAACCTTCTGAAAATTCATTTCCTTTCAAAAAATGAATAAACAGAACTTACCTTCATTACATTAAATAAAACCTCCTGCCCAAGGCTATCTTTTTCCTTAAAAAAATTATGTTCAGGATAAGTTCTAGCAATGTCCCTTCGGATCAATTTTTCACAAGGTGAAGTCATTTTCAGGAGTTCTGAATACTGATCCTTAATTGGCATACTCTGTGCACTGCACAAAAGTTGCCAAACTATTGCTCTGAAGTGGTGGGGTATCCCTTTACGAACAAGTTCCTAAAAATAAAAATAAAAGTACAACAAAATTTTAATAACGAAATATTTAAGTCTCTTACCTTGAAAGCCAAAGAAGACTTATTGGGGGTTTGAGCGGAACAGAAGACTTTACCACATTTATAATTCACACAGCTATTTATAACAATACTAGGGAACCTTTTAACCACGGCTAAGATCTAGCCCTTGGGTGTATCCTGTTCTAGGCAGGGAGGATACAATGCCATGGATAAATTCTTGTCAGTTCACTCAGAGCATGGCCTCTACAGGTGTTAAGGACTTGATGATCTGCAGAGCTGTCAATGATAGCACAGTAACCATCATCTTTCAAAGGGCTGTTTTAGGCAAAAAAAAAAAAGTAAAATACTAATAATTCAAGGATGTAGGATGCCACAACTTCATTTCTGAACCTATAAAATGAGAGAATTAAATTTCTAAAATAATTTTCAGCTATATATTTCTACAATTAAAAGACCTCTATAACAACTGATATTTACAAATCAAAACTTCTCTGGGCAAGAACATATAAAGCAGACCTCTTTATTATAGCACTTGGAAAGCACTAAAATCTGATTTGTTTTTATCCTCTATTAACCCATGCCAGATGCCCTCTGGGATACGAGGAAGAACTTCAACAGAGAATATGAATACCTTAACTTGCTTCTCCTTCTTTTTGCGCACATCTTCCCATTCATTAACAATTCTTCCCCAAAGAATCCAAGAATCTTCTTCAAGGTGACTGAGGTTGCTAGAGGCCGATGAACTTGATACAAGGGAGGAGCCACTGTTTCTTCTTGACCCATTCACAGATCTTAAAGACTTACTATCCGTCTCTAACAATCTAAAACATAATTAAAAACTGCTCAAGATCACAGTGATACTGGAAGAAGCAATGATGATACTTAGAGCTTCACTAAAGCAATTTAGCCATGGTTTAAAAATATGCATAATTTCAATAATATTTGGTTGGCATCTATAAAATTACTCCTGTATTTTCTTCATCTAAACATAGCAATTTCAAATTTTGAAATAGTAAATTTTGTTAAATATTTTAGTGCTATTAGTCCCATCATAATTTCCCTTCATCTCCACTAAAAATTCAAATTAGGAGAAATCTTCTGGTGAGAAAATGGTTGGGAAGGCTTCAAGAAAAAAGAAACTGTAGTTGGGAGAGGTATAACAAATTCTATGGAAGAATTAAACCTGTCATGTTAACAATATATCCAGGGCTAAAAAAGTAAGGCAGAGCCACACAAATTAACCAAATCCTTTGTCTTTTTTCATTTTGCTTCACCCATGCATACCTAATCTAACCAAACAAAAAGTATTTTTATCTGGTCCATGCAGTGCGTTAAAAAACTGAACAATTACTAATATTGAAATTGGAAGAATTCATTTATTTGTTTATATACACATACATTTATATTTATTTACAACTCTTAATTCTCTTGAAAAATAAAAAGATAGAGCGAATTCAGGCCCATATTCCTGCACCGGAACAAAAAGCATATGTGTAGCAGAGTAGTGGCTTCTCCCCTTAGATGAGGAAGGACTATAATCCACTCAGTATCCATAATCCCTACTATCTCCCCAAAACTCAAGACAACTACCAGCTCTTATTTATCTTCAGGCTTGCACTGTTAAACTGAGACCTTTCCCTCTTAAGACCCTGCTGGCCTTTGAGTTTGCAATCCTGTTTTAGGCCTCTTCCTTATCCGTAGAAAGATAGGTTAAGGTAATTTCAGAGATCCATTCGATGACTCATCACAACAGCAAATCCATTATTTCTTTCATATATACACAGGCTATAAAGAAAGGTTGGAAAATGTGGCTCTATCATTATAAAGATGTAAATGGTATGTCATTCAAATAAGGGTCCTAAAACATTATTTGTGTGTTTAACATGGCTACTACTTACTTCCAGTAACTCCTTCAGAAAATCATCTGCTTCGAGTACAAGAAATGCTCCCAATACTAATTTACAATATATAAAAACTAATAAAGAAAAAAAACATATGGGTCAAACCCTATTTAGCAGATTACAGAAACACCCTTTGCAAGCCAGATTTATATCTTACTCATCTTTATATCCCTTTATATCATCTTACTCACCTTTATATATCATTTAGCTCAGTCCAAAGTACATTTAACATTGACTGAATTGAAATAAAACCAAAATCCCCATATTAAAAAAACTCTTTAAATGCCAGATAAGTCATATTCAGTAACACAATAATATAAATTGAACAAATTCTATCCTTATTCATGGGATAATTTAATACATTTTAATGGCTATAATAATTTAAATAAAATGTCCCAAATATTGCTAGAAACAGAAAAATTTATAAAATAGCCAAATAAAGGGTCAACTATTTGCTATAAATATTCTTTATTAGAAAAAATAATGATGATGTTTTACTTTACATATTGTTTTTTCCATAGATATTATTTCAGTAAGTCCATAATATATCTTATGGAAAAATTAGTGCACGTATGTAAGTAATTTTATGTATGATACTAAACCCCAAGAATTCTAAACGGAATAGAGAAACAAACTTTACTGAAATAACCTGAACCTAAGCTCTTCATTTCACTTATTCAGTGAATGCTTGCTTTATGTCAAATAATTAAACTGCATCACTGACATCAATAGACAGACAAGCAGTTAAAAAGAAAATAATGGTATTTCCTAAGCTAAACATAAGTTTAAGATATAATGGAAGTACAGATGAAAAAGTACCTAAACAGAAGGCTTTTAGAGAGTCAGAAAGGTCTCAGAGATTGCCAAGTTGCAACTTTTAGGATAAGCAGGAATGCCAAGTGAATTCACAGGTAGGTTAAGAGAAAAAGGTTAAGTAGTTCACCTTCAGAGGACATTGAAGTAACATATACAAATGTACAAAACTGTGAGAAACATTTACAAATGAAATATTCCAAGTAAAGACCTGACATTATTTAAAGATATTGTCCCTACCTTAATTCACATGATATACAATAATGACTCAAAATGCACAAGAGGCCTGAATATAAAAACTAAAACTATAAAACTCCTTCAAGAAAACAGGAAAAAGTCTTCACAACCTTGGAGTAGGCAAAATTGGTTAAGGGGATACAAGGAAACACTAACCATAAAAAAAAACTGATTAGGAAATAAACTGAGACTTTATCAGACTTTAAAAGCTCTGTTCTTCAAAAGATACCACTAAGAAAATGAAAAGGTAAGCAATAGACTAAGAAAAAATATTCTCAACATACGTATCTGACAAAACATTGGTATCCTGAATATATGAAGAACTCCTAAAAATCAATAATTAAGAAGGCAAACAACACATTTTTTAAAATAAGAGATATAAACTGACATTTTCCAAAACAGGATAATCAAGGGCCAATAAGCAATTGAAAAATGTTCAACATCTTTAATTATCAAGGAAATACAAGTTAAAACCACACTACGTACACATTAGAATGGCTAAAATTCTAAAGATGGACCATACCAAGTGTTGTCCAGGATGGGAGCAACTGTAACTCTCATATATTGATGTCAGGAGTATATAATAATTCAACCACTTTGAAGAACTGTTTGGTGATTCTTTATAAAGTTACATATATTTTCATAGGACCCAGCAAGAGAAATGAAAACATATGTCCACAAAAAGACTTGCAGTTGAAAGTTCATAGAAGCTTTATTCATAATAGCCAAAACCCAGAAACAACTCAAATATTCAGAAAGATAATCAAATTACAATGTATTTACTCATTGTGATACAACTCACCAATAAAAAGAAACAAACTGCTCATACATACATTAACATGGATGAATCTTACAAATATTGCGAAGAGGAAAGAAGCCAGATGCAAAAGAGTACATACTATATGATTCCACTTATATGAAGTTCAAGAAAAGCATAATATGGAAGAAAATATAGGAGTAAATCCTCATGACGTCAGGTTAAGTAAACCCTTCTTAAACATGATACCAAGAGCACAAATGACAAAATAAAAAAATATATAAATTGGACTTCATCAAAATTAAAAATGTTTTGTATCTCACTGGATGACAACAAAAAAGTAAAAAGAAAACCCACAGAATGGGAAAAATTATTTACAACCCATGACACTTATATATAGAATATATAAAGAACTCTTACTACTCAATAATAAAAAGACAAACAACCCAATTACAAAATGGGCAAAGATTCAGAATAGACATTTCTCCAAAGAAGATATTATAGTAATTGTTTGGGGGCACCATGATGCGGTTTCTTTTTGGTGTGATGAAAATGTTCTAAAATTAATTCCAGTGATGGTTGCACAACTCTGAATATATGAAAAACTACTGAATTGTACACTGAAATGAGCAAATTGCATGGTACATTAATTATAGCTCAATAAAGCTGTTATATTAAAAAAGAACAGGCGAAATATATCTATGGCAATAAAAATCAGAAGAGAGGTTTCATGGGGGTAGGGTTGCTAGAAAGGGCACAAGGGAATTTGCTGGGGTTATGGGAATTTTCCAAGATGATAGAAATCATCTATGTCTTAATAGGCATGTGGGTTATACACAGGTATATATATTTGTCAAAACTCAAACTGTACACTTAAGAACTATGCATTTCTCTGATTACAAATTATACATTACCTTTATAATAATTTATTAAAAATATTGTCTCTGGTTAATGACACCAGGGGCAGTAAGAATTAGGTGAGAAACTACTGCTTATTACTGGAAGCCCTTCAGAACTTTTTTTAAAACCATGACTATTATTTTGTAAAGAACTGGTTTCTTTTGTTTGTTTGGTTTTTGTCTGTTTTGTTGGCGAGGAAGATTAGCTCTGAGTTAACATCTGTTGCCAATCCTCCTCTTTTTGCTGAGGAAGATTGGCCCTGGGATAACATCTGTGCCCATCTTCCTCTACTTTATATGTGGGACACCTGCCACAGCATGGCAGGATAAGTGGTGCATGGGTCCACACTCGGGATCCAAACCCACAAACCCCAGTAAGCTGAAGCAGAGCGTGCGAACTCAACCACTACACCACCAGGCCGGCCCCTGTAAAGAACTGTATCTGATACATTGAGTGCATCTACTTTGTAAAGAAAGGAAGGTATGAACATTACTTCATTTCTTCCTTTTCAAATTTGTTGGTCATTCTAGCAAATTTTAGAATTTTCTAAAGAAAAACTTCAGAATTTTTTTTCAATGCTATATGTATAATGAAGAAGTCCTTCTGTCTGAGACAGGTGGAACATTTTCCAGAAGAAGTAATACTTGAATTGATACTATCAAGTCTCTCCCCACTGAGCTACTCAGTCATGGTATGCAGGAAAACAATTTACATATTCATTAAGAATATGTAGACGTTATAGAATGTGTAGTTAGAATCATATATTTTTATTCTTTATTGCTAACAGTGGTGATGAAACAACTCAGGAAGACTCCTAAACAGGTTGTCACCCAGTTTCAATATAATTAAAATATTCTGACATGGCAGTGGAGGGCGCACACTGCCTGAAAATGTCAACAATTTCCAGAGACTTGAGCCTGGCAACTGGGAAAATGGTAATACAGCGTTACTCATAGGTCCACGGGCTATTGAGAAGTCTATTCAAAGTTTATTCACTTATTTTCCTTTTCCTAGAGCACATGAGTTCACTGCCTTGCATGGATTTATTGCAAAAACGGAAACTACCTTCCTGCCCCATCAGAATTTCCTTATGACTAAAATAAGAAGAAATTTACCAGATTAAAGGAGAAGAACACTGGCCCAGCAGGAATATTGTATGCTATAATCCAAGGTTTTTCCCATAGGTTTGTGTGGCCTCCTGGCCATTTCTTAT